AATATTACCATGTTTGATATTGTCCCAGAAGTCTTTTAAACTATCCTCATTAGGCACTTCCCTGGTGGTGCAGTCATTAAGAATCCACCTGCCAATGCAGGGGACATGGGTTCAAGCCCTGGTCCGGGAAGATCCCACATGCCGCAGAGCAACTAAGCCCGTGCACCACAACTACTGAGCCTGCGCTATAGAGCCCGTGAGCCACAACTACTGAAGCCTGCGGGCCTATAGCCTGTGCTCTGCAGCAAGAGAAGCCACCGCGATAAGCCTGCGCACCGCGACAAAGAGTAGCCCCCACTCACCGCAACTAGAGAAATCCCACACAGCAATGAAGATCCAACACAGCCAAAAAAACAACAAAAAAAAAAATCAAAAAAAAACCTACAGGAAGAATTATATTTCAAAATGACACTTCAGAAGTAGCCCTAATTAAAGTCAGGAATAAGATGTATACCCAGTATTGTAGTGTCTATTTATCATTGTACTGGTGATACAATGCCATAAGACACAAAAAGAAAGATGTAAGAATTGGAAAGGAATAGATAAAATTACTCTTATTTGTAGACAATATGACTACAGAGAAAATTCAAGCAAATTCACAAAGAAACTATTAAAACTAATCAGAAAATTTAGTAAAGTTGCTGGGTATCTGATCAATATATAAAAATTGGTAAATGTAAATATTATTAGCAAATGTAATAGAAAAATATATCTCATTCATAACTGCAACATAAACTATAAGGTACATAGGAATGAACTTAGGAGATGTGTGAAATATTTAAAGAGAAAAGTAGAAAACAGTATTGAAGGACATAAAATAAGACCTTAATAAATGAATGGGAAGACTCAAGGTCAAAAGATGACAACTATTCCCAAAATTATCCAAAAATTAAATGCAATTAGAATTTTAAAAAATCCAAATTATAGAGCTTGACATACTGATTCAAAAACTGTAGAACAAAACACCAAGAGTATCTAAGACAATTTGAAAAAAGTGAATAAGGTAAAGGAACTTACCTTACCCAATATCAACACTTCTTATAAAGCTATAGTAAAAATGTGGACATATTATTTGGTTATGAATATGGAAAAAGAAAAAAGGAGATTTCTTTTTTCAAAAGGCATAGTTTTATGACCTCAGGATAAGGAAGACTTGCTTAAATACAAGAAACACAATAAACTTTGATACATTCAAACTTAAAACTTCTGTACAGTAAAAGACACCATAAACAAAGATAAAAGCCAAGTCACAAACTGAGATAATATATGTACAACCCCCAGAGCTGACAGGGTTCAATCAGAGAATCCAAACCACTAGGGGTGGCATGCCATAAGGCATTTATTATGGAAATTTGATCTTATGTAATTATGGGTACTATTTAAACAGTTCACGTACAGCTATTGCTTCTGCATCTAGTACTGAGGCCTCAAGTAGGCAGGGTAGGCAGTGAGGAATGAAAAGTGAACATGAAGTGGGGAGGATAGGGATCGCTGGAACCTTCGAGGAAGAGCTGAAGCTCTCAAGAAGAAACTGGAACTCACTTCTTTCTTTCACTGCCTCCAAGCCTCCAACTTCCATGATGCAGGAGATCAGTAGAAGAATCTGGTGTCTTTCATCCCAGAGCTAAAAATGCACCTAGCCCAGGAGTTGAAGAAGCTGAAGGAGGAGATCCAATGAGAGCTGAAAGAGCTGCAGACTTGGCTCTTGCCTCACACCAATAAAGTGAACCAACAGGTCCACAACACTGTGCTTGAACTGCAATAACACCTGACCCTACAGCGACCTTCCAAGTATAAACATAGCTGCTTCACTTCTACCTTGCAAATATCATGGAAATTTCTCCTGTGGCCAACCCTAACCTAGAACCATAGAGGAAAGGGAATTGTAGGAAGTATGATTCCAGCTTAGTTAAGGTGATATAGTCCAAAGCCATCACTGCCCACCCTTTGTCAACTTGGCATCCATAAATACCTGTTTTCACCAGACATAACTTTCAAATAAAGTTTGAAAGCAAACTACAGCGAAATTCTGTTTCTGCTTAACATGATATACCTATCCCTGTACAATGAAAATATGTCGGATCAAGTGGTTATCCATGTGGAAAAAGAAAAAGTTCATTTCTAACCCTCCCCTGCCAAAAGAAGATACAAAGTCTGTAAGTTCATAGTTTTCATAGTTTGGTGATGTTCACTTCTCTTCTAGCTATGTCACACTGCCCCTGTGATATCCTGTAACAATTACTGATGAATAATGTTAAAAACTTATTTAGACAGTAGAGGGATGGGAAGCCAAAGGGAAATTTTGGTTAAAACACAAAAATATTTACATTGAAATAAGAAGACATTTTCGTCCTCATTCCTGCAACTGGTTGTGTTGTGTTAGCTGATATTTAAAAATACGCTTCCACTCCCCATTTCATATTCCCTGCCTGATGGGGTGACCCTTGTTTCTGCCAATAGCACTCCTTCCTGCATTAGTTTGTAGTAGTTTTGCTGTCGATTTTAATCACAGGAGGTGAGAATACTTGGTAAAGAGACTCCCCATTCCCCCCTTGATTGTCAGGACCAACCAACCCAGGCAGTACAATAACCTTCTTTGCCTGTTGATTCACTGGCAAGAGAAGCCCAAAGTAGCCAGGGCCAGTCTCACTTTACAGCTCAGTGGGACCACTGCTGTGTTTCCTGTGGAAATATTTCTCTTTGGGGAACTAATACTCTAGATTAGCATAGCCCAAAGTTTCAGAGACAGAAAGCAATAATTCTGCTAGAGCAGTACTGTGTGTCATCTCATTTATACTCTGTTTCCTGACTCACGAATCCTTGCTTTGGGAGAAACAGCACCCTATGTCAGTTGCTCATTTAGAGCATATCCTTCATCCTGAAGGGCATTACCCAAGCCCTCAAGGTGTTGCCACCCAGCTGGAACCATAACTGAGTCTTCAATAGACCATTCTACTGTTCTCTCAGGCCAGCTACTTTAGAGTAATGGGGAACATGGTAAGACCAGTGAAGACCGTAAGCCTGAGCCCATTGTTTCTCTTCATTTGCTGTAAAAGAAATTCTTTGGTCAAAAGCAATGCTATGTGGAATGCCATGACATACAGATAAGGCATCCTGTATGTTCACAGATGGTGATTTTGACAGAAGCATTGTGGGCAGGAAAAACAAATCCATGTCACAGTTACTGGATATTCCATTGAGAACAAAGCCCTGCTCCTTCCTTTGTAAACAACCTGCCACCATGTGGCTGATTGACTTCCAAATTGGGAACTCAGTGTTGGCTTCTACTGTTGGCAGGTTGGGCACTCAGCAGTGGCTGTAGCCAGACTGGCCTTGGTGAGTGAGAATCCATGTTACTAAGCCCACACATGACCTCTATCCCTCCCACCATGGCCACATTTTCCATGAGTCCATTATAATAACAATACCTACTTTGTCTTTGGTGATTAAGTACCATTACTTGGTCCCTGCTAACCTGGGATTTCATCATCCCCATTGAATGTGGGGAGCCAGATTCAATAGTGTAAATTCCTACCATTATTTTTGGCCTACAGAGAATAGCCACCACAGAGCTCTTCAAGGATATCAGGGCTCTCCTTGTGAATGTGCTTCTCACAGCCTTGGGGAAAGGAGTGTCCTCTGGACTTTCCTGAGCACATTTTTAGGAGGTAGGTAAATAGGTCTTATATGATAAATCTACTGTAGCATTCCAATCTTCCTTAGCCTTTGAATACTTTCTTCTACTGTATACCAAAGAAGTTTTGGCATTCTAGCTTCCAGATTTCAATCAGCCAACTGAGCAAATGGTTGGAACCACTCAAGCTAACACATTGAATCAGAAATTTCTACACTAATAAATAAATGTAGCCTAATCTGACTTTATATTCCTTCCACCCCGAGTCTGCACGTTAGGGATCCATATCTATACATTTCCCCAGGTTTCCGTTGATATAAATTGGCAAAGTCATGAAATTATTTTGGTGTGTATCACACCTTCTCTTGGGTCATGCTTTGTACTTCACCCTTTGGAGTCTGTTTGGACTTGAGCCTATAAGCAATGGAGGTAGATCCTGAGAAAAATCAACACTTCTACTTCAGGGAAGGCCACTACAGGCCCCACAGGCAAGGGAGACTTCCTCACGTAGGGGTGGAAGGGCCATTTCTACTGAAAAAAGTGGTTCAGCAGAACTTAGGGACTCAAGGTCCCCAGGTTCACAGGAATCTGTCAATACATGTCTCCATCCTAACTTTCATGGTCCCACTCCTTCCCCATCAACTACCTAATTTTAACAGAAGAGAATTCTGAGGACACAAGCCGTAGTCCCTACATGGACCTTGAGATGGGAATGTAAAGCCCTGACTCATCATATTCTTTCCCCAAGTTCTTCAGGGCACTTTAGCAACATACCAATCTCATTCTAATTGTTATGCTCAAGCAAATACTTGGTCAAAGTATTGACTTCTATAGGCACTTGATTACGATTGTCTACAGGTGATTTTTTTTCTTTCCTTCTTTCTTTTTTTAAAAAACTTTTTGGCCATGCCACAGGGCATGCAGGATCTTATCTCCCCAACCAGGGATTGAACCCACTCCCCCTGCAGTAGAAGCACGGAGTCTTAATCACTGGACTGCCAAGGAAGTCCCTACAGGTTATTATTTTAAAACGTTTTCTCCTGTTATATGCCATGGAGTAACAGTGATCCCTTTACCCCTGGTAACCCTTGGTAAGTGTCATTTATGCCTTTAGATCTAATTAGATCACAGAATCAATTCTAGACAATTTAGACCAAATTTAGAGAACCCATCACTCACTAAGGTTCTGTTCTTCTTGGAACTATGTCTGCTAGCAAATTCTATTCCAGTCAGGATCCAATCTGTGAAGCAGAGCCACGAGGAGTGACATAGGATAAGGAATTTATTATGGGAATTTGACTTTATGCAATCACGGGAGCTGGTTATAGCGTCTATGTAAGGCTGTTACTTCTTTTTCTGGGGCTAGGGACTGAAATCCCCTGGAAAGGCAGTCAAGAAGGAAAGATGGCTATGAAGTGGGGAAGCAAGGACGAACCAGGATCCAGGAGGAAGAGCAAGAATGAGCTGGAAACGGCCTCCATCTCACACCCCCTCCAAGCCTCTAACGTCACTGATGTAGGTGACCTGCAAAAGACTCTGGTGTCCTTTGTTCTAGAGCTAAATACATACCTAGCCCAGGAGTTGGGGAAAGTGAAGAGGGTCTGGGGACAGATAAAGGAGCTTTGTGTCCAGCTGCTGCCCCCACCAGGAAGGGGAGGCAGCAGCTCAGCCGCGATGCGTGAGCCACCCCAGGGCCTACCTCACACAGTGTGAACGTGCTGCCTGCAGCGTCACTTCTGCCACATGAGTATCATGCAGATTTCTCCTGTGGCCGAACCTAGCCCAGAACCATGTAAGGAAGGGAATTCTGGGAAATGTAGTTCTAGCTTAGCTAAGTTGACGCAGTACAGAGCCACGAGCCTATTTATATTAAAAGGTTTAAAACACGTATAAGGTAAAACATAAATAAGTGGTACAAGTATAAAGACATTCTTGAGCATGGTAAATATGACAATTAAAATAGGGATGAGCTCCGGGGAAAAAGGGAATGGGACTAGGGAGGGGTACATATACCGTTAATTTTCTGTAATATTTCTTAAAACAACTAGAGTAAAAATGTTTGATAAAAGTGGGTGGTGGGCTTCCCTGGTGGCGCAGTGGTTGAGAGTCCGCCTGCCGATTCAGGGGACACGGGTTCGTGCCCCGGTCCGGGAAGATCCCACATGCCGCGGAGCAGCTGGGCCCGTGAGCCATGGCCGCTGAGCCTGCGTGTCCGGAGCCTGTGCTCCGCAACGGGAGAGGCCACAGCAGTGAGAGGCCCGTGTACGGCAAAAAAAAAAAAAAAAAAAAAGTGGGTGGTGGTGGGCATATGGATATGCTTTGTATTAATTCTCTATACTTGTCTATAGGTTTGACATGTAGACAGCAGGAAGAGGGGGAAAATGGTAATCATAATGATTGCTAATACTTACTGGTCGCTTAAGCTTTGCACTTGGATTATCTCACTTAAGTAGAGAACTAGTTTCTTTCTCTGGACTGAGGGAAGAAACATAGCTGTAGACACCAATATTCTGAACCCTAGTCAGGACCCCAGGGCCACCGGGGACCGAGGAAGTTGGAGAAGGCATGTTGGGAGACCCCTTGGCTCCCCTTTCCTCCAACACCCTCGAGAATCCTTGTCCCTTTTCTCCTTTTCCACCTTCTCTTTTGCAGAGTCTCTCCTCATCCCTCTTTCTCTTTCATCTTGCCAAAGGGAGACTTTTTCACCCAGAAGAAAGGTGCTAACTAGGGAATATGGTGGTCATTGCAGCTGAGATGCAGGGCCCACACACATCAGGCCTCAAGTCCAGCCCAGCCTACAGGAAGAGAAGGCCTGAGGGCCACCTCGGGGGAAGCCCTACACCTCCTCCCCCTGCCCAGCTGTCTCAGCTACCCCCCACACCTGCTTCTCCCCTCATCTGCCCCTCCTGCACCCCCTTGCACCTGACAGGCCAAGAGCAAACAAGTTGTTGTTTGTTCCTCTCTCCCAGGAATGCACAGTGACACAGAAGAGGCACACATTGCTAACACACATTGCACTTTGCAGTTACCTACTGTTTCCTAGCTTTTTCTTATGTATGCTGCTTTTAAGACTTTCTCTGAAATCCTGTGCTCTTTAATTAGACTGAAGTCAACAAACATCTATTTGTTTGAGACCTATTTTATGTCCTGGGTTTATGAGGGGTGCAAAGGAATGAAGACTACCGTTTCTTCCCACTGGGAACTCACAGTCTCATGTTGGGGGAGATTCACAACTAAGTAATGCGACTGTCAAACTAAAAGGGCAGATTCTATGTGAGTATGAAGGACAGAGATTAGCTATAGCTTCAGAGATCCAGGAAGGCTTCTTGGGGGAGGCTTTCCTCTGCAGATACTTCCAAAGAGAGGATAGCCTACAAAGGCAAGGAGTGGGGGAGATTATGCAAAAAGAATGTGCTGTGAGAGAAGAGAGAAGGGCTAACTAGTATGGACCCGTGTGGACTCCCAGCTTTAAGGAGGGCCAAAGGCAGGGGGAAGAAACAGTGATCAGAGAGGAAGTGTAAGGACCGGGGCAAACAACCCTCATTCAGTGCGACTAGTATGTTTTCTACCCACTTAGAGTACTTTAGAGCTGGTTGGGGCCTTCGCAGCCAACTAGTCAAAGCCATTTGTTGTACTGAAAGGAAGGACATTGAGACTGAACTAAGTGGGGAGAGATTTGCACAAAAGGCAAAACTTGGTCCAGGACTCAGCTTCCAGCTCACTGTACACCATACCCCTGTGACAACCCCAGACCCAGGTCAGCAGCTTCTTTGTCATGTTACCCACCAGCCACGCCTACCACAGTACCCAGCACACAGTAGGTACACACATATTTGCTGAATTGAATTCTATTTCTCCTTTATTCCTCCAGTTTCTAAAGAAAGGAACAAGAAAGAGGGATGGGGGGCTTCCCTGGTGGCGCAGTTGTTGGGAGTCTGCCTGCCAATGCAGGGTACACGTGTTCGAGCCGTGGTCTGGGAAGATCCCACATGCCGCGGAACAACTAAGCCCTTGAGCCACAACTACTGAGCTTGCGCGTCTGGAGCCTGTGCTCCGCAACGGGAGAGGCCGCGACAGTGAGAGGCCCACGCACCGTGATGAAGAGTGGCCCCCGCTCGCCGCAACTGGAGAAAGCCCTCGCACAGAAACGAAGACCCAACACAGCCAAAAATAAATAAATAAATAAATTAATTAAAAAAATTTTTTTAAAAAAAGAAAGAAAGAGGGATGGTCCTCTACCAAACCACTATTTATACCACAGGCTCTGGGTAAGGGGTGTATCTTGTTGATCCCCATGATTCTGCTGTTATTCCCATTTTATAGATGGGGAAACTGGATCTTGAAGAGCTAAGATTTGTTTTGCAGCTAGTGAACTGTAAGAATTCAAACCCAGGTCCATCTGACGATAAATTCCACACTAAGAGTATCAACTTAAATGGCTGAAATTGAATTTAATTGAGTTAATTTCTCCTCTGTGCCCCACAGCCCTTCAAGGGGGAAGGATTATTTTTTCCCTTTGGGGGTGCATGGGGGATAGAGCTGTAGTAGAAGGGTGTATGTGTGTGAGAGAGAGAATAAATCCTTTTAAAGACCAACTTGTTTCAACTATTCATAACTGACTGAACTTCCAATACCAGTAGAAGAAGTGAACAAAGGTATTGGTTCTTTTTAAAAAGTCACTGACAGGTTCAGCCCGTCTCTGCATCATCACATTCAAACCTGGTCTGAGGGTCCAGAAACTCAGGGGTGTTGTTGAAATGGAAAAACACAGAAAGAGTTGGGTTATCATGTGTGTCATCTCTCCAAGTGTCTTGTAAGCAGATGGTGTTCGAGGGGGAGAGGATGAAAGAACCACCTAGAAAGCGGTTTCTGTGTTCAGAAGAAAGGAAAATAGAGATGACGGTGGTGGTGATGGTGTGTGTGGATTGCAGGCAGGTGTCAGGGGTGTTGGGCAGGGAGAAGAGGACAGACTTGTCACGGGCCCTCACACCAGCCCAGACCTTCCCTCATGCCCTTGTAACCTTTTTAAGGCTCTTCCACAAGTGGGCTTCTGGGGTTGTCACCAAGCCTCTGCCATCCCCTACTAAGGCTGAGGAGGTCAAGTCCAGGGATGGGGAGAGAACTGGGTGGAAGGGGGCACTGGAAGTCCTGGGAAACCTCACTTTCCAGGCCAGGTGCAGAGGCTGGTCCTTGCCACCAGCTGGGGGTCTAGGAGTCGGGTGGGGGCTCTGGCTGCCTGTTTGTTCAGCCCTGAACTGAGGTTCCTGTTAGGAAGTTACCTTATTTGTGTTCAGACTGATTTGTTTGCTGTTCACACTCACATGGTGAGCTGCCCCTTGGAGTCCTGGCTTCAAACGTAGGGTTAGGCATGGGAAGTGGGAATGATGGCCAGACTCAGAGCCTGCAGGGTCCAGAGAGTACTCTGGGAAAATCAATGTCTACAAGCTCCTGATGAGAAGGTGGGTTGGACCCCACTGGAAGCTCAGCCCTGGCTCCCTGCTTTCCAGAGGAGAACCACATGGGGCTCACCCAGTGAGGAGTCCTAAGGCAGGAAGCCTCGGAGTTTGGCTTCCTCACTCACCGGGGGAAGTGCCTAGTGAGGAACAAAGTATCCTAATGCCAGGCTCCCACCTTGAAATGCTGATTTAGTTGGTCTGTGGTGTGCCTGGGGCACCGGGACTTGTACAACTTTCCCAAGTGATTCCACTGTGTGGCCAAGGTGAGAACCTCTGTTCTAGACTCTACTAGCTTCTCAAACTTTAATGTGCATACACATCACCCAGGAATCTAGTTAAACTGTAGATCCAACTCAGTGGGTCGGAGTTGGGTCCTTACATTCTGCATTTCTAACACATTCCCGTGTGATGCTGGTGCTGTTAGTCTGGGGACCATTCCTTGAATGGCAAGCCCCTATACCTGCTTTCAACTTCTCCTTCCAATTATCAGGGGGAAGGGGGTGGGGCCGTGTCCCCAAGCTTTCTGTACCTGTTTACTCGGCCCACCCTTTCCCCACCACCTTGCTTGGTAAAGTGATCAGCACACTTCACAGCCTCTCTGGCCAAGGCCAGTCCTCTAGTCATTTTCAGAGTCTAAGTGGACAAAACAGATCCCTTACCCTACCTGAGACCAACCAATTCAACTGGCTCCAGCTGGGGAGTGTGGCAGAGGCATGGAGAGGGCAGCAGCAAAAGCAGCAGGCGCATCCTTCTCTTGTCCTCTTGGGAACTCAGGCCCTATGGGCAGATAGGACACAAACATTGAGTGATAGGGTATGTGTCCAAAGATGGCTTCCTTCCCATATGCTCTGTTTGCAGAGAGGCCTTGACATTTCCCTATCCCCTCTTGTTGGATCCGGGCTAGCCCTATGACTTGTTCTGGTCAGTAGAACATGAAGAAAGTGACACTGTGTAACTTCTGAGGCAGGACCCTATGATCTGAAGTTTTCCCTTTGCTATTTGGGGTGCTCGCCCTTGGGATCCAGCTTCTATGTGAGGAAGACTAAGCTAGTCGTGTTGAGAGAATGAGAGAGTCCCAGCCTCCCAGCCAACCCTGCCAAGACACTAGATTTGTGAATAAAGCTATCCTGAATGTTCCAGTCCCAGCCACCATCTGACTGCAAGCCAGACCAGCTACATAATTTGTGGAGTCCAGTGTAAAATAAAAACATAGGGTCTATTGTTCAAAAATAGTTAAGAATTTCAAGACAGCAAGAGTAGAGCATTAAGCCAGTTGCAGAGTCTCTCTCAGCGTGAGGCCCTGTGCAATTGCACAGGTACCACGCCTATGAAGCCAGGCCTGATTGCAACCTCATAAGAGGTCCTAGTTGACACCCTGTGAGGAAGAAGCACATCCCAGCCGAGCCCTGCCAGATTCCTGACCCCCAGAGTTGTGAGCAGGTAAAATAGTTGTTTTAAACCACAACGTTTTGAGGTGGTTTGCTATGCAACAGCAGATAACCAAAACACATTGAATGGTTTACTCTGGCAGAATGGGAGACTCATGAGAGGAGGATGGGGAAGGTCAATGATTTGGGAATCTCATGGGTTAAGACCAATGAAAAATGATAATGCTTGTTCACTAAACGCACAGATCTTTGAAGATGAAGACCGCTTACAGAATGCAACAGAGTCAAAAACTAACTACAATCCAGTGTTTGAAGGTGTCATTTCCCCACAATATGCTGACCTGACGAGGGCAGAGGAGGGCAGGGGTAGGACCCCTCTTGCTTTGCCTTTTCTCTGGAGCAGGCAGTGTGGAGGAGCTAAAGAAGAAGGGTCTTTGGAGTCAGACAGACGTAGGCTCACATCAGGCTTGTGTACATTCAAGCTGTGAGAGTTTGAGGAGCCTCCCACCTCCCCATCTGTCCCCATCCTGCTCCCACTACAGCCTTTCCCACCCCAGAAAATGGCAACTTCATCCTTCTAGCTGCTCAGGCCAGAAAACTTGGAATCATCTTTGGATCCACTCTTTCTCTCATCCTCACATCCAGTCCATCAGCATACTTCTCATAAGGCTCTACCTTCAAAATATATCCAGAATCTGACCTCGCCCAGTCACCTTCCCTGATATCACTGTGGACCAAGCCTCCTGTCTCTTGCTAGGATGACTGCAATAATGACCTATCTGCTCCCCTGCTTCCACCTTGTTCTTCTACAGACTTCAACTCAATGGTTCTGGTAAACAGGGTAAGATCATGTCAACCTTTTCTCAACTCCACTGATTCCCCAAGTCACCCCAGGTGGGGGCTGACAAGGCCCTCCACTCCCCTTATTTCTCTAACCTCATCCACTACTGTTCCCGAGTCTCACTCTGCTCTAGACACACTGGCCTTCTGGCTTTCCCTTGACTAAACACACTCCTGCCTCAGGGCCTTTGCACTTGCTATTCCCTCCTCCTGCTTGTCCTTCAGCTATCTGCATGGCTCATTCCCTCACCTTCTTTCAGTCCTTGCCTTGCTACAATGTCACCTTTTAAAAAAATTTTTTTTGTGGGGGGAGCTGCGTTGGATCTTCGTTGCTGCGCACGGGCTTTCTCTAGTTGCAGTGAGCGGGGGCTACTGTTCATTGTGGTGAGTGAGCTTTTCATTGCGGTGGCTTCTCTTGGTGTGGAGCACGGGCTGTAGGTGTACGGGCTTCAGTAGTTGTAACGTGTGGACTCAGTAGTTGCAGCACGCAGGCTTAGTTGTTCTGTGGCATATGGGATCTTCCCGGACCAGGGATCGAACCCATGTCCCCTGCATTGGCAGGCAGATTCTTAACCACTGCGCCACCAGGGAAGTCCCAATATCACCTTCTTAATGAGGCCTTCCCTGCCTTGTCCTACGCTCCTTATTTCCCTATACAGCTTAATTTCTCTCCATAGTACTTATTACAATCCAACAAACATATATTTTCCTTATTTATTTATTTTTATTAGCTCTTTCAACAATAATGTAAGCTCCCTAAAGAGCAGAGATTTTTTATCTGCTTTGCTTACTGATTTTTCTCTTGGAGCCTAGAACTGAGCCTGGCACAGAATGGTCAGCCCACAAATATCTGTTACATGAATAAACCAATGAGTGAGTGAATGTTACTGATGGTATTAACTTCACCTAATACAGCCCACTTTGTTGGGTTTAGTGAAATCTAAAACAAGTAATAAAGATACCTGGCACGGAACAGAGGCTCGTGGGATGTGAGCAGGGCAGGAACAGATCATCAGCCCAATCAATGTCTGCCCCTATGGCCAGGTGTCCCTCTCAAGGGCTCTAAAGGAGCCAGGTGAGCTGCCACCAGCCTGAGTTTCTGGCCCAGGATTACCAGGGCTTCAGCTTTTACTTAAGGAATTTGGGATAGGGATTGATTTAGGCAAATACATTGCCATATTTCTTCAAATGTCCCTTTTCTAAGCAAAAATAAATACCTGATCTCAAGTTCCTGCAAGCTCTTCTTGCCATCTCTCCAAATCATCTTATAACTAACTCATCACTTAATCCATTGCCTGTCAACCTTTTTTCTGAATTTGGGAACACTTTTCTTTTTTAATGATTTTTTTCCCCTTTTGGACCTCAGGAGCAGAAGGTTGAGGTAATCTTTCCTACCTGTTCATGGCCATTACCATCTGAGGTCCATACCAGATCCCACTCTTCTTTTCGTCTGTCTTTTCCTCTTTATCCTCATCCCCTTGCCAATTCCCCTGCTACCCTAATAAACCATTTGTTATTGACTATCTATGGACCCATGTAAAACATGTAGGGCTGTTTTGTATATATGTTTTTAATTTACATACATGGTAAAACTTTCTTTTTCTTTTCCTCTTTACTCAAAACCATTTTAAAGTTCTCTCTTTGGTGCTCTATGGATAGAAGTTTCATTGCTTCTAACAGCTGTTTTCTAGTATTTCACATTGCAGATGAAAAGTCTGCTGTCAGGTTGATTTTTATTTGTAGAAAACCTTTTCTAATGTTAAAAAGCTTGGAAGATCTTTTTATTTATCATCAGCATTCAAAGATTTCAACAAGATGTTTAGGTATCTATCTTCTCTCAACTTGCATGTCCTTCCAGCTGTGGGCTGCAGGCAGTTGGAGGGGGGTACTTTTGTCTGTATTGAGGGTGAGTTTTCTGAGAAGTATTCCAGTGGGGACATCTGACAAGAAGTTAGGTAAGAGAAAGTGTCTGGGCTGGATTTGGGAGTCATCTGCATTTGGGTTCTAGTTTGAAAAGAAAAATATGGATGGATGAGATCAAAGATGGAGGAGAATAGGTCAAGTGGGGAGGTGAGTGGGTGGGGCTGCTGAAAGCAGGGGGTTATCATAGGGTCTATTATTAGGTAAGCAATTGTTTTCTTCTCCTTTTTTATTACAATAAAATATTTCAAACACTAAGAAAGTTATAGATAAAAATATGATAAATACCCAAGAACTCAACATCCAACTTTATAGACTGCAGCTTTTGCTACATTTACTTCAGTTTTTGTTTTTTTAAGTAAAAGTACATTACGGACACATATGTAGCCCCTTTGCACCTCTCAGCAGTTCCATTCACTGGAGTTAATTACTATTCTAACCTGGTGTTATCATTTCCATTCATGGTCTCATACAATTGCTCCACAGTTACTTACCCATAAGCAGCATACAGCATGAAATGTTTTGCATGCTTCTAAACTTTATATATGTGGCATCATACTGTACTTGTCATTCTTCAGCTTGTCTCTTTCACTCAGCACTATGTTTGTGAGTTTTATGTACATAGCCAGTTTATTAATTTTCATTGCTATGGAGTATTCCAAAAATGAATAGACTACAATTTGTTTTTCCATTATACTGTTAATGGACATTTATGGATCATGTGCTATGTGCTGGATATAGCAAAATTGTAGCAGTGAATCCGCATCTCAACCTGTGAAAAATCATGTATGCTACTTTACAGATAAGGAATATAAGGCTCAGAGGGGGTAAGCTACTTATCCAGGTGACACAGCTAGTACATAGTAGAAGGGCACCCTCTCCTCCCTCCAGGATCCTCTGGCCCTGATCTTGCATTGTCTCTTCTTCCCCAGGGAACTCATAGCCTCAGCCCTGGGGGAGGAGGTGCTTCTGGAGCTTTCCTGAGCTGGTGCTTTTCTGTTGACTGGAAGCACACCTGGACTTGGTACTGGGTAGGCCCAGCCCAGTGACAGAACAGGTACACTCACAATGCTGGCCCCTGGCCTGTGTGGGCAGCTGACAGGACACAGAATCAGTCCTGCTTCTGCTCTGGGGCTCTAGGTTTTTGGAAGGCAGGACCCCGTTTTCTCAGCCTCCTCAGAGCTCCTCATACAGTGCCCTGGAGAATTTAAGCCCTCTGTTCCCTCAGTGCTTTGTAGAGGTCTGGACATGCGGTCAGGAAATGTAGGCTCTGCTCTGCCCTGCCCCTGTATCTAACTTGCGTGATGTGATGCAGCAGGCACTTAGGCCTCCTCTGAAGTGGGATGATAGCCTCGGCGGCACCATTTTGCTTTTTAAGTGCCTGTCCCTCCTGGGCTCTGGCCTAGCAAGGCCTGGGGAACGCACGTAATAGGAGAGGTTCGGGGTGGGGGCGGGGTGTGCTTGGCACTCAGGGACTGAAGGGCCGAATGGCCGGGCCGATGGGGAGTGTCATTTCTCGCGGCGGGCAGCAGGGAGCGCGCGCAGACCGTGTGATGGGGGCACCGCCTCCGCTGGCCGTCCCCTGCAACCGCACCTGCGGGGTCTCAGCAGCCCCGGCAAGGGCGCGCGAGGAGGCTGTGCGAGGAGGGAGAGGCCCCTCACCCGCGAGGCTAGGAGTTAGGGTCAGCTTGTTGTACACACCTCTCAGAAGCTCCGGGAAATGAAGCCCGATTCGGGAGGTGGCGCGCGGCGCTGTGCTCAGAGGGCAGTAGAGGGGGAAGGAAGAACGTTAGTTAGGTCGGGTGCCTAAGATCACTGCTCTCTGGCTGGTGGAGTCAACGCTTCCTAACTTCGGGGTAGAAACAAGCATGCCCCCCTCCTCCCAGGGGGAAGAGGATAGTCAATTGCAGGAGATTCCCAAATGTTAAACGAAAAAGGCTACAATTTTCGTCTGGTTCCCTTCCAGACCCTGGGGCGGGGAGGTGGGGGGTGGGGTGGGGGACGGAGGGGGGTTACTAGGAAATCCACCCTCCTCCTACGCAGTCACACCTAGGAGGTGGCTGTGTGTCGGTGGGACCCATCTTCCTGCTCCTAGACCACAACCCTTGCCAGCCTCAAATGTGCTTCCAGCCAAGACCCTTCTGTCCTGACGAGATGGGTCCATAGACTTATTTTTCTTTTCTGATTCCAAACATAATATATACATTTTGCATAAAAATTAAACAATACCAAAATTACCATTAAGAAAATGAAAGCCCCTCCATAATCCCCTAACAAAATGACCACCTTTTTTCAGGTTTACTTCTATTCCATACATATACTAACATATTTATTATAATGATTTTTACAAAAATCATTGAATCAAAGTATTTTAAACTGTTTTTAATCTTGCTTTATTTCTCACTTAATATATATTGGACACGTCACTGTGTCAGTGTATATACCTCCACCAAATTTTTAACAAATGGTTGCACAGCATGCAAATAGTTGAGCCAGCCCACCACTGATGGGCTTTAAGATGGTTTTCCCTTTCCCCTCATGACAAGCATCCTTATAGGCGCTGTGCTCCCTGCAAGTACTTTTTAGGAGCGATTCTTTTTTTTTTTTTTTTGACTGCGTTGGGTCTTCATTGCTGCGTGAGGGCTTTCTCTAGTTGCAGTGGGCGGGGGCTGCTCTTCTTTGCTCAGGCTTTTCATTGCGGTGGCTTCTTTTGCTGCGGAGCACGGGTTCTAGGCGTGTGGCCTTCAGTAGTTGCGGCATGCGGGCTCAGTAGTTGTGGCACATGGGCTTAGTTGCCCCGCGGCATGTGGGATCTTCCTGGACCAGGGATTAAACCCGTGTCCCCTGCATTGGCAGGCGGATTCTTAACCACTGCGCCACCAGGGAAGTCCCTAGGAGAGATTCTTAAATGTGCAGTTCCTGGGATGAGAGAGAGGCTCATTTGAAATGGCTGATGTTGCTGCATTGCCCTCCACAGGCTGTACTGTCTATCTGGTCAGTATATCCACCCATGGTGAGGGCAGGTTCCTTGTGGGTTTAGCTACAACCTCTCTTGAGGTGAGGGCTTAACCTCCCAAATCTTGGAGCTTGCCTGAACTGGTCATTTCTGGAGGTTTCAGCAGCTCACTAAGGACCTCATGAGAGTGTGAAAAGGAAGCTTGTTTGTTCAGTTCAGGGGTGTCAATAGCAAGAGAAAGGACTTCATAACCTTTCTGAGAACAGGGGTGATTACAAAGTGGCCTTACCTCCCAAGGGATCATGGTGGGGTGCAGGATCGAGCAGAGGAGCCAGTCAGAGGAGTGAGGAACTGGGTGGGGTTCCCTGGAAGAGAAACTCTGTTACTCCTAAGGGACAAGGGCCCTCCTGGGCACAAGTGCCTCAGGGACCAGCCCACTAACCTTTTAAGCTCCAGCTGTCTGGAGGCGGGTGTGTGTGTGTGTGTGTGTGTGTGTGTGTGTGTGTGTGTGTGTGTGGGCAGATCCTGTCCCTGGCCAAAACCACTCAGTTCCAAGAGAACATATAGCCTGACTTTGAAGAAGAGAGAAGGCCAAGACCCACCACAGAGGGATCTTTTTTTTTTTTTTTTTGCGGTACGCGGGCCTCTCACTGTTGTGGCCTCTCCCGTTGCGGAGCACAGGCTCCGGACGCGCAGGTTCAGCGGCCATGGCTCACGGGCCCAGCCGCTCCGCGGCATGTGGGATCTTCCCGGACCGGGGCACGAACCCGTATCCCCTGCATCGGCAGGCAGACTCTCAACCACTGCGCCACCAGGGAAGCCCAACAGAGGGATCTTGAGATGGAATCAGATGCTAAATTGGTTGAAAGAGCCTCTGAGCTGGAGCAGCCCTGGAGGGCTTCCTGGAGGAAGAGGTTGCACACTAGATGTGCCTTGGTAGGTGGTGATGATTTGGACCCTCCCAGAAACCTGAGCAAAGTCATGTTTGTAGGAATGGTCAGTCTGCTCAGGGAACAAGAAGCAGCACGGATTGAGGGTGAGTTGTGGAAGGGCAGGAGGAGCTCTAGCTGGGGATGTGGCAGAAGCCAGTGTAGGGATGAACCCTACAGCTCCCAGGAGAGGAATTTGTTCCGGGGTCCTTCTGACCTCTGAGTCCCTGGAAACTCTGGCTTAAGAGTCTGGACATGTCCTCCAGGGCTCCTGGAGGCCTATCAAAGGCTCACTTCCCAGGGCAGAGAACTCAGACCTAGGGCGGCGGTTAGCGCCGGGCAGCGCGGTCTCCTGAACACCAGGAGGCGCCATCCACTGCCGCGCGGGTCCGGGGCTGCTCCGCCCAGGGACCGCTGGATTTTCCGCAGTGCTACTAAGCTCCCTGGTGTTCACTCGGGCGAGGGGCTCACCACTCCCACACCTTCACCTTTTCCTCCTTTTCCTTCCCCAACCCCAACCGGGGGCTCTTTCCCCTCGCCTCACCAGGCAGAAGGGGAAGTAGGGGTTTGAGGACGAGGGTTTGAGCCAGGCCTGGGGGGCGAGTCACGGAGGGTCGAAGGGACTGAAGGAGACCGCGCCTGGGTTTCCTCCATTCGCCCTCCCTCTTCCCCTTCCCCCGCCCTTTCCTCGTCCTCCCGACTCCACCCAAGTCTTGCTCTCTCTCCCGTGCCCTCCTTCTTTTCCTCATTCTCCCACCATGATCTTTGGTACCAAGCCAATTTTTACGGGAGTTGGTCCTCCACGTGTAAGCTCATTAAGGAAAAGATGCAAAATTCATAAATATTTGAAGGAAGAAAAAAAATCCATTGCTTCCCCCGCCAGGTGCCAGTCGGCCCTGCTAGCTCAGCGCCCCGCCCCCGCCCGCTCGCAAGCCCAGGCGGGGAGTCCCCTGAGGCGGGCGCGGAGGCCCTGGGCGGGGTAGGGGCCGCGGCCTTCCCAACCCGCGTCCGCGCGTCGCCGAGTCACGGCCCGGCCAGCGTCGCCGCGGGCGGAATAGAGGACGGAGGATTGAGGCGGCCGCCGCGTGTTTGTCCAGTGCCCGCCCCCGCCGCCGCTGGCCCTAATCTCCGATACACTTGCGAGTTGGCTTCCTGCCCCGGGGCCCCCACTCCCCGAGCAAACAGGGCGGGCGCGGCGCTGCATCCGAAATGTGGCATTTGAGCAGCGCAGCGGACGAAATCCGGAGCGCGGCCGCTCGGCTGTAATTGCCCTTCCCCGCCCTAATCCTCCGGCCCGGCCCCGCCCGCCGGCTGCGGCCCATTGATTGTTAGCGCAGGAGCCGGGGTCTCGGCCCAGCTCCGGGAGGGGCGCCCCACCCCCTACTCGGGGTCTAGGAGACAGTCCGGACCCACCTACCCGTCCCCCATGTCCTATCCCTGGCGCCTCTCTCTAGCCGAGGTCAGTCCGGACTTGGAGGCGGAGAATGTCCTTGGAAAGGGCACCGAGGTTGCCAGGGGTAAATGGGGGGGTGGGGCGAAGAGGGGAATACCCGCAAACTTGCCCCGGCCTGCCAGGCTGAGGGAGGTGAGATCCTAGATCGCGCCGGCCTTTGTTAGGTGAGGCAGGGGTGCAGAGGACCCACAGGGGCCTCGCTGGGCTTGACCCCCTGAGAACCCACTATGGAGCTGGGGGTTGAGAGGTCCCTGTGTGCCCCAAACCACCCCGTAGACCCCAGTGCTTCTGCAGTGGCGGGGACCCACTTCCTGGGGTCTGCCAGAGTGGTCTGAATCTCACTGCAACCGCATTTAGTCATTCTTCACTGAATATGGGGTGCAGAGTGCCAAGTGCTCCAAGCTGGGAAATAGACATGGTCTCTTCTACAAGTTCTTAATGAGAGACGTCAGTGCCAGGGGAAGAGAGAAATAGCGTGATATGGGAGCCTTTGGGGGCAAACCCACTGAGGCCAGGTGATGGCGTTACAGGGAAAAGACTCTGTTCCTCGCTGGGGTGAGTTTTCTTTCTTCCCAGCCTCCCATCCAGGCCCCACAGTGCACCCCTTCCCCTCCCAGCACAGCCACCGCAGGCCCGGGAAATTGAACCTTGGCCTTCTGAGCGACCTCCCTGGGCCTAGGCCCACAGTTCAAAGTTGGCTTCTCTGTGCGGTCGGTGGCAAGCCTCGGCGCTGTGGTGGTGGTAGTGGGGGGGTTTGGTGGGCAGGGAGCAGGGGCCTTCTCTGACACCCTGAGGCCTAGGGGAGGAAAGCTAGGGCTGGGGCCAGAGGCTGGGCCAGGGTAAGTGGAGGTCTACGGAAATGGAGCACAAAAACAGAGATATAGGAGAGAAATCAGGCTGCGAGGACTTGATAGCTAGAGGCTCATGCCTAGATGCCTCCCCTTAATGCCCTTGAATGGGGCTGGGATGAGGGTGAGGCAAGTGAGGCACCACTGAGGGCACAAATTTAAGGAGGCCCTCCCTTTCAAGGTCGTACACTCCTGAGAGGGAGTGTCTCCTTGCTTCACCCTAGTCCCAGACCTGCCCTAAGTGAGCACTCCCCTGTACAAAGGTGGCCCCAGTCATTGCCCATTACCTGCTGATTTGCCTCATAGCCTGACACCACCTTGATATCATCCTTACTATTCACTTGGTTCATACTGTCAGCCTCTCAGCTGGAACAGAAGCAGCATGAGGCAGGGACCTCATTCCTCAAAGCACTAGGTAGGCAGTAGGTGCTGAATAAATAAATAGTTGATGGATGAATAAATGACTGTATCTCCTACCCTCCTTGCCCCCAAGTCTGAATTCTTCCCTCTGGACATGGCCGGCTGCAGTGGCCACCCCGGGGTTTCTTGTTTTACCTCGAACCCCGTTTAATCCTCAGGCCCTCTGCCTGAGAGTGAATTTGCACAATTGGTGTGTGTTTGTTCTTCCATCCTCTGATACTAAGCCCTGCTTCTCTCTCCAGCCTGACGCTGACTCTCTGAGGACAGGGACCAAGCCTGGCCTGGAATTCCTTATCTGCCCTGCAGCACCCAGGCCGGGGTGGCCCTCAATATATGCTGTATGATGAACACCCAGGGCCCTAACACCCATCTGAAGACTTTGTACAAGTCCTCCTAATGCCTTATTTCTTGTTGTGGAGAGGGTGATCCAGGTCACATGTTTCTGCAGTGACAGAACTGAGCTAAAGCCAGAGTCCTGCATCCCAGAAGCAGTGGAATTTCCTCCTCCTGTTTCGTAATTTCATCAGGCAAATTATGAAGGTACAATGCTCTCCACCTCATGTATTTAGGTGCGGCCTGGTGGGGGCTTCTCAGCTTTCTCATATCATACCAGGTGCATGGCCACCAACTGTAATAAATGTGACAGAGCACGTGTGAGCAGGTGGGCTTGTATATAGTATCTGTTGGGGGTGTGTGTGTGTGTGTGGTGTCTGCTGCGTATGAATGTGTGTGTGCCTGGGAAAGTGTGAGGGTGTATATAGATTCCGTCAGCAGAGGGTGTATACAGCTTCTGTTGGATATGAGCATAGGTTGGTGGGGAGGGTGTTGGCTGGGTGTGTGTGTCTGTTGAGTGTGGGTGTGTGTGTAGTATCTCTTGGGTTGTGTCTATGTGTTTGTAGTGTTTGCGAAGGATGAGGGTAAGTGGTGTCTGTGGGGTGTGTCTGCGGAGTGTGTGCTGTGCTGGCTGGGATGTATGTATGTGATATCTGCTCTGTGTGCACGATGGCTAGAGTGCCTATAGGCTGTTACATGATGCTGCCTTCCAGAAGCCTCTGTGCAAAATGCCTGATGATATCCCCTGACCAATGACCCTGTGCCTGGCCAGAGGCTGCTGCCTCTAGGCCTAGGCTGGCTAAGGAGCCATGCATGGAGTGTCTGGGGAGTCCAGTGTCTCAGGAGGTCAGGAAGCTGAGAGACAGCAGTAACTACTGTGAGCAGGGGCATGGAGACCCAGGCAGGGACAGGAGCTGGCTGCAATAAGTGGACAGAGGCCAGTCTCGAATCCCGTTGAGTATAGATGGCAAGGCCCCACACACCACACAGATCCAGGATGGGGGAGGGGAGCGAACACATCAATCTGGGTCTCGATCCAGTCAACACATTCAGGCTTAGGACAATTCAGAAGAGCCCGGGGAGAAGGCTGAGCTCAGATGGTTAGGGAAGGTGGGACAGAGAAGTGAGTCAGCTCTGAGCGCTCAGGAAGCAGGGGCTGGATCTCAGCCCCACTGCTGACCTGACCAGTGCCCTTGTACAATGTACAGTCTGCCCAAGTGCACACAGTGACCCTGGACCTTGGCCTGGGAACCTGCGACTTTTGCTTACTCTGGGGTAGAGAAGAAGAGGACAGCTTTCTTAGGCTTTGAAGGCGGTGGAAGGCCTGGCTGGCTGAGGAGGGGATGGCTTTGGGGCAGGATAGCTGGAGGCCTCTTGGCTGGGCACACTGACTCCTGGGTCCTGGGCTGACCTTCACAGGGAAGGCAAGGCAGAAGGCACCAGCAATCCAGAACCTCTCTGCTCCACAGAGGGCCAGAATGGCCACTCATTGCCCACGGAAGAGCTAAGACAGGGAATGGATGACAAAAAAGTAGAAGGAGGGCTGACCAAAAAGGGCATTCAGAAAGGAGTTTGATAAAGGAGAGGAGAGAAGCCTCCCAAACAGTAATAAGAGTCACCAAGATGACCCACTCACTGGATTTGCAACCCCCAACTGCTAACTTCTGTCCTCAGTTTTGTCATCTGGTTTTGGGGGTTGAACTAAAACAATTTTAAGGTTCATTTCCCTGTGACTCTAACCACAGAGAACTGGCCTGGCCTCGGCCTGACCCAGTGACGGCTCACACTAGCTCCTGCCCTCAGTCACGGGGAAGCTGGGAGAGTGTGTGCCGCTCAGTGGAGTGGAAATCCAGCCCAGGGCCCAGATCTCGCTGTCTGGAACACCGTGCTCACAAGTGAACAAAGACTTGAAAGGACAGTTACAAACTTTTAGCTCCAAGGAGGGCTGTGTCTTTCTAACTCAATTCTAGAATTAAATTTGGAGCTCACATCTTTAAGACTTCCAGGGCTGAGATTCTGGGAAAGTCCAGCCAAACTCCAGAGCTAATGTGAGTAACCTGCGACCATGTCTTTGGTCACTGAGGCCTTTAGGACAGAGAAGGGCAAGAGGCAGAGAACACCAGACCTTTGGAGGTCGGGAGAACTTGGTGGGAGAACGTGGTGGAGGAGGGAGCCGGCTGCCTCAGCGCTGAAGAGGGAGGGGGGAGTGGTGAGTGAGACTTTCCATCCCTCCAGTGAAACAAAAAAAATCATTTCTCCTATTTCCTTGGCTGAGATTAATGATAAACTGTCTATCCCCTAAAAGAAAATGATAAAGACTCTAATTTTACTTGGAGGCTCAGAAATGCCATTTCTACGCAAAACAGGGAGCCCATAATCAGACTTGAGCGGGGCAGAGCTTTGATAGAAAATGTTTTCCTCTGTCCCTCTATTTCATCCCCTCCTTTCCCTGTGAACCAAGATGCCCGACAGCTAAGAACAATGCTCAATAAAGTGAAATAATATTTTAGTCAAAATAGGCCGAGACTGCTCCCAGCCAACTGTAAATTAGCATTTTGAGGGCAAATATGCAGACAATTTGAGATAATGAAGCCTGATTATTCAATCCAATGAATGTTAACTAGGGAGCAGAGGCTCCTCCGCCTTATCTCACTCTCTTCGATTTACTTTTTAATCGTTTCACATTGGAACTCTTTATTTGTTTCTGTTTTATGTGCCCCCTCCCTCCCTCTGTCTCTGTCTCTGTCTCTGTCTCTGTCTCTGTCTCTCTCTCACACACACACACACACACAGTCTCCCTCCCTTCTCTCCCCACTCCACTCCTGCCCAGGCTGCAGGAGAGGACCATCGGAGATGGTCAGTCTGTCCATCCAGTCCACCTGGCCTTCACGTTGGCTCAGCAAGCCCCATGGAGCACCCACCACGTGCATGGCTCTTTGTGGAGTTGGCAGGGTGCGGGGGACCAGTGTGCACTAAACAGTTGATACAGCCGCTGCTTCTCAGAGCTTAGAGCAAGGCTGGGTACAGGATATGGGAGAGTCACACGCACTTATAGAGGAATATACCGGGGGCTTGTGAGGTGCAGGAACCCAAAACAACAGGAGGAATTCCTTTTAAGGCCTTCAGTCACCCTCCCCCACCCCAATCCCAAGGAATCATGGAAACCTTTCTTAGATTATTCTTCATTCCAGGCAGGACTAACTTCATAATCTGTGGGCCCAGTGCAAAGCAAAAATGCAGAGACCCTTGTTAAAAAATTATTGAGAATTTCAAGGTGGTGATGGCCGAGCACTCGCTAAACCAAGCACGGGAACCTTCTGAGCACGGGGCCTGGGCAACTGCACAGGTCATACATGTAGCTGGCCCTGGCTGCAGGAGCTCCTGGTGGAGGTAATCCAAGAAGGCTTTCTGGGGGAGGAATGAGGCCATTCTTAAGCAAGGAGTGC